CTTGGGGTTTTTATCTTGTTGTTCATAAATGTTTTGTGTCTATAATTTTTGATAGTGGTTCCTGTGACCGGTGTTTATGTGTCTCTTCAATAAACTTCCAGTTGTCCGTCAGCGCTCATCCCGTCCACCTCTTCTACTCGCCTTTGTGTCTTTCGCGCTATTTTCTCGCTTTAGGCGTGAACCAACTCGCCTGCATCGCGACCTTATAACTCCGGTAAGGCGATTAGCGAGAGAAAGCGGGTAAGGCGATTAGCGAAAGAAAGCAGACGGGTGTGAAACGCTAGAAGCTGGTTGCACAGTTGTGCTTAAACCTTTCTTTCAACATAACATGGCAAATGGGAAAACTATGGCTCTATCGAACAAACCACAGCGTTTGAGAAAGGCACCTGGAGAGAACTGCTGGCCTGCATGAACTCGGGTCGTAAAAAGGTGTTAGTACCAGCTTCGCTCCTTGGATTAGACTGACTTGTGGGAGGCCGTTTTCCAAACTATAACGTTTCAGTGACTACAGACCATAGAGGGCCTTGGTGCGTACTCGCCTTTGCTGAACAATAACATCTTGGCCATTGTACCGCCCATTTTTTAAAGCATGAAATGCTTTTTAGCGGAAGCCCAATCCTAAGAAGTTGTCCGTTCGTCCGTCCGTGCGCAAATTTCCAGCCAGATTTAGCGGGGAATGCTGAATTAATATTTAGGTCATGTGACGTCGTTTGATATCACGTGACCTGACGTCACGTCACCACTGCACCTATAAATTTTCTCCTCCAAATTTAGCCGGAAATTCGTAGTCACTTTACCCGACTTCACGAGGCCTATACACAAGTTTCCCCGCTAAATATAGCCGAAATATTGACGTTATGTATGACCTGACGACACGTGACACGCATACATTGATACCAATTCCCCCGCTAAATATAGCGGAAAAATCGACGTCGCGCGACATATGCACCAGTTCAGCCTGGCCGCTATATTTAGCGGGAAAACTGACCCATTATGACCTATGCACAGGGTGGCCAGTTCCGCTTATGATAAGTGGATTTGGGCTTCTTTTTTTACCGAGTCGCTGATAGATTTTTCCAGTCGCGCGTCGCGTTTTTTGGGCTTGTTCGCGCTTTTGCCGCAAATATTGTTATTTTAGTGCTCGTCACGCTTACTGACAGCGCTTTTGTCGTCAAAAACGCAAAACAAAGCATGACTGTTTGGTGCGGCGGTTAGGTGGCGCATGCTAACGTCCGTCACAAAATACAAAACTATTACTATTCATTCACAAATGTTTTGGCGCCTTGAACCTCTTGCCAGTCGGCAGTCGCGGTCGTCGTGTCTAGTTGCCATTGTATTTTACGCAAGATGGCTTTGAAGGGGTCGAAGTATGGCAAAAGATATTGTAAAAAGTGGGAAAAGGAAACTCTGTTTAGGAGTGGCTGCGACCAGTCACCGGAGACGATAAAAAAGCAGCGTGCAAGTACTGGAAGTGCGAGATCCACGCTCATCATGCCGACCTCGTTTAGCACATGGCAACAGAAAAGCACATGAGGAACTTTCGGCCGCTTTCCAGTGCACGTTTGACTACCATGGGCTTCACCAAGTCGTCGCCTCCAAGAACGATACCAGAACTGGAGCTCAAGCTGGCATGTTACTCAGTGTGCCATGCCACTATCTGGCGGATAGAGGCATGGCACGCTGACTTCGTATTTGAGCGAGTTCGCCTTCGTATTTGAGCCAGTTCTCTTTCTCATTTTATTATTAATAAACTATTTTCAACAATGTCTACATTTGTTGAACTTCCCCTTGTTTTTGAGCTTCTTCACGAAGGTCACCCCGTTTTTTGGGGCTTGTTTGGGGACGACTATTTGCTTGTTCGCTCGGCCGCATCTGGCTACCCTGCCTATGCACAAGGTTTTCCCGCTCAACGTATCAAGGAATTTGATGAAAAAAAAAAAAATTAAAGTCCTTATTTGCTCCCGAAACGACGGTTTAATGTCTTCTAAATAATTGTATAGGATTGAGCCTTAAATACTGGATATCTTGTAATTGACCGGTGGCGCCATCTTCTAGTAAACACGTGAAACATTCAGTAACGTGTAAATCCGTGGCGGCTGGTGTTTCTGGCGTACGACTGATGTAAACAAAACGGCCAACGTGACATATGCCGGTCGGAAGTTCAAGAAATGCGAAGCTAGATAGAGTAAAGGGTATCTGAACGACCGTAAAGGTATGTGGTGTGTCTCCGTCATCTTGAACCTGAACGATCGTTCAGGTTGTGCGCCGGCAAACCAAATCATTTTGTCTGCTCGCGGTCGCCACGGCAGCTAGTCTGCCCGCAGATCGCAAAATTTTACTAGCATGCGCAGTTTACAGCATTCACAATTGCTTACCATTGAGAGCAGTCCTCGGAAGGATTTGGTTCATCCTGTCAAATGAAGCAGACCAACATGATGGCCAAAGTGCCTCTCGCTCTCCTAAGTCTAACGCTCGGCTGGGTCGGCGAAGGCGGTCGCCGAACCGACCGCCATATTTTTTTTTACCTTAGCCGTGAACGGTGCTGGCTGCGTTGCGGTGACGACTCCAGCGGACGGAAGGGGAGAAACGAACCAGAAGAGGCCTCCCGACGCCCCGAACGACTCGCGCGCATGCGCAGTGGCGTTACCGATGCGTTCGAGGGCGATCCGTTCGTGTGGAAACGAGCTGATGAAACTTCCTATTGTCAGTGACAGAAGGAAAGCGGCAAATGCGTGTCTTTCGAACGCCGGGGGCCTCCACGACGCCGTACATGCCTTCCGTCGTGCTTTGTCCCTCGAGGTGCACTGACGCCGGTGCGTTGTCGAAGGTGGGAAGTCAGCACTGTAGACCCGACCGAAGATGATCCCCGCCGTTCTTTTCTTGTCAATGACTACAGCGCCGATATGTGCTCCTGACTGCCTCTTGTAATTCCTAGTTGTGATTGCACGACCAAACATTGCATCTTGACGTCACGAGCTGTAATTCTGACCACATTTCATCAATTTTGAACAAGTTTGATAATGCGTGTACCAAGCACGGTAGAAGCTTGGAAACGTCATTCTCTTAAACCAACACCGTCAAAGTGAACAGCGTGATACTAGCGGTATTGACGTCGACGAAAGCAAAATTTAATTCGATTAAAGACGACAAGGTCAGGGTTTTGCCAATCATGAAATGGCTACCGTAAAGACAATTTTGGTATTGCACGTCGCCAATTACATTGTTGATGTAACTAAATCATGTGTGTAATTGGCTTGCTCTCGATCATTAAAACTTGTGAAAAGCAGGTATACCACATATATGAAGCCACGGCTATCAGCAGTGGTAATCTGGCGCATGCCCAATAAGGGTAATAATGCTCGTACGCGCAACCTTTGTTCTCGCCGGTCACTCCTGTTTTTGATAAGAATATTAACAGCAAAAGTCGGTTCCGATAGGAATAAAATAACATAAAAAAGTGTAGTATTAATATAAGTACTAAGTATAGAGGAAAAAGGTTATCTTCCTCAGAACAAAAATTGAAGAAATATACAAAATTGTGCTGGAGAACACAAACACACACCGGCAGCTTTCGTCACACCTAGCAACAAAATACTCACACGTAAAGTCTAGCATGACTTGACATATTCTCGCTGAAGATGAATGACACATTTTTATTTCATTTTTGTTGCCTGCTCTTCACGAGCCTAAGGAAGCTTTTTGATCTGAGCTGTTGAATAGACTGTCATCGTCCGACTTTTCTGTAAGTTTCAATACGCGAGGCTATACCTGTCGGCCAGTCGCAATCAAAACAGCAAAAGGGCGATTTACGACGAAATTGTAAAAACTGCGTTTGGTAAAACAAGAAAGTAAAATACGAAAAATAAAAACAATGTGCATGTCGTTGTTTTTTAATGATTTTTAAAAATTTTGTTGGTATGTTACAGAAAGGTAAGAGGACTTGAATGCTCACATCTCACATCGTATCTCAACAGGCTATCCGTATCCATTACGCACTCGGTGTTATGCTGAACGTACAAATATGCCAGTCAAACATCTGCCATTGTGACAACTCACGAAATGGCCATAAAAAAATAGATGAGGACGCCTAAGCTTTGCCTTTAATAGTGGAACGCAGAAGTCGTGCAAGCGTGTCTGAGTGGCCTATCAGTAGCTTGTCTGGCTTACAACCGGAGCTTCGTGGGTTGGAATCCCGCCTATAGTTGTTTAAATTTTTTTATTTTTTATTTAGGGCAAATAACTTTTAAAGTCAAATCATTTGAGACCACGGCGACCTTTAATTCGCTTTACATGTCATGTTTTGACCACTGTAATTTCATGCGTAACGTCACATTCCACGTGACCGTTGTTGGGATGTTTAAAAATCCGCTGCGAGGTCGTGACCCTATCCGCCAGTTGGGATAAACCGCGTCCCACCGGCGCCGACACCGACGCTGTTTTTTTTGTGTTGTTTTTTTGTGACAAGAGCTCCTAAACGCTCTCACGTTATAAATCTTATTGTGTAGTTTTCACGCACTGCGACTGAGTTAAATTCAGTTGGTTTTAATGCTCCTAAACAATAGCTCCGATTTTACTTATATGATTTCAAACGGGGTACCATGATTGAGGGGGGAACAATCATACTTTTGTAGTTTCGCCTCTCAGGATGGCAGTTTCTCTCCTTGTCTTGTAAGCGTTTGTCCAGGTAAACGAAAAAGTGTTGTTAACCTATATCGTGGTAGGTAATAAACTGGTTCCTTTTCGTGCGGTGATCTTTTAATTGGTCAGCTGTTGAACTGTGAGATTACCGTATTTTTCGGATTATAGTCCGTACCATGTGTACATTCCGCAAAAAACAAAAAAACAAATTGGGGTCGAAAAAAAATATTTTGAAATGATTGTCCGCAGCATAGTTTTATCATACAGAGCACATTTTATCATACACAGCAAATATCATACACAGCACACCTTGAATAAGGCCTGTTGTATTATCTAACAAAGAAACGTGTGTCATACATAAATCATCATCATCATCATTTAATAAACCTTGAAGGCCATTACGGGCATCACCACTAATATAGTCTATTATTCAAAAAAATCCTTCACGTCTTGCCACAGTAAATGATATAGAAAAAACAAGTCCTCATATATAGTCCACAGTTGTAGATAGTCCTCACAGGGTAAAATGTAACCTTTTAAACATGTATAGTCTGCGGACGATAATTCGGAAAACAGTATATGCAATGGGCCTTTGTTCGGTGCGCTCATATCTGACAAACCTTCATCAGACATCTGGTGAGTTTTTGCGAGATAAGCTTGCACCTGGGGGCACTATATCTGATATTCAATGCTGCTGAGTCTCCTGAGCTTATAACTCGATAATTTATATCCGATACCGGTGAGCTTCTTCTCGCTCAGATTTTGTGTTGTAAGAAGAGAGCTACATCCGAGAAGCCTTTATTGTAAATCCGGTGAGCTGATGTCTCATGAGCTCCTATTTGATAAAATTTAATCCGAAAAGCATTCACCTGCTGATCCTTCCCGCGGTGGGCCTTGGACAGATGACTTTGTTCGATGTGAGCTTTCGTCCAATGAGCGTATATGTTCGGTGTTGTTTTTTTTTGTTCGATGAGCCCATACGCAAATGGTGTTGCCAACTGAAGCGAACCCCCGAAGCGCTATACGCGAAAGGTAACTAAGTTCGGTCTAGCACCTGGGAACTGAAGGTCTAAGCACGCGGGAAAAAGGTGCCAGCGACCGCTTGGTTCAGAACCGTCAAGTAGCTCCCGTAAAGAATCTTGTAAAGCTCCGCGTTGGTGTAGTTCCTGACTTCGCTCCGGAATGCTCGGCTTCGCTCGATGTTGAGGTCCAGATTGCTGTCGTAGCTGGCGCTCAGCGTGATTTGTTCTACGAGAAACGTCCGCACGCTGCCGTCCTTGCCGGGGTTCGCGGTCGCCTCAAAGCGAGCCGTCGTGTTTCGGACAGCCACGTGGACCCAGATGGTCTTGCGCGTCGAGAGAACGTTGTCGCCTTTGGTCTGGAAATAAAAGGCGCCGAGAGACGATTAGTTTTATTATAATTTGATCCAATTAGAGACTCCACAAATGCCTTGTTCCACTGCAGTGGCGAATGTATGTTTTTAATAACTTTTTAGAGCGCAGCTCTTAGGCGCCCGTTTCCGGCTTGAGCGGCGTCGCCGTCGGCCTAACCGTCACACGTCGGCGTCTCCGTCGGCCTAACCGTTACGCGTCGGCGTAACGCATGGGCGTTACGCGTCGGCGTAGCCACGCGGTGCATTATGGGAAATGTCCCGCAATGCACCGCAGTGACGCGCGCGTTGCATTTTGGGACGTTTCCCATAATGCACCGCGCGGGAGGCAGGAGGGAGGATGAGGAGGGAGGAGGATAGAGGAGGAGGAGAAAGAGGAAGGAGGAGAAGTGGAGGAAGAGGGAGTAGGACGAGGAAAGGGGGAGGAGGTGAAGAGCAGGGGAGGAGTAGATGAGAAGGGAGGAGGAGAGGCATACCGTCCCCTCCGTACCCTCCCCTCCTCCTTGCCTTTTTTAACAATTTTTTTATGTTAGAACTCAACCCACGTAATAAAATGCGCGTTTCGAGCTTCTTAAAAGTACAAAAAAAACCTTGTTCGAAAGCACGAGACGATTTCGGAGAGCAAGTACCACCCCGCCATTTGCCTTCAAGGGCCGCCTGAAGGACGGGTATTAGGAGATTTTTCTAAAACAGACACAAATACGTGGAAAGATTTTTGTTTAAACGCCACCGGCTTTGTGGAGCGGAACATGCTTGGGAGCAAGCGATATCGCCGAAGAATTCTTGGCTCGCCGAATAAGTTATTTCTTTTTATTCAGCAGCGAATATTGCTGTTTGTCAACTTAGTCTAAAAAAAACAAAAAGTTTTAGCAAGTGGGAGTGTTTTTTATGTAAAAATACGGCTTGAGCAACTGACTGAAGGATAACTTTAAGTGAAATGAAAATGCGACAACAAACAACCAATGTCAATTGTAAATTAAAATTTTACTTCTGTGTTCTTTTAATTGTTTGAGGCCTTACCTGTGCGGTGTAGGTCACGTTGAGTCCGCTCAGATCGAGGGTACACGTGATGCTCGTGTTGCCCGCCACCTGGATGGGCCGGTTGCAGTCCCCGACGCGGCGGACCAGGGTGTCCAACCCCCTCACGGCACCTTCGGTTAAGTTCACCTTCAGGTCGCGGATGCCAAGACCGTTCTTCTTAATCTGGATGAAAAAATGAGAGAGACTGGCTTACACTGTCTGGTAGTTCTGAACGCGACACGTATGCAATAGTTCTGCAGCGAGCAGATGTTTTCTCCGGACGCCTATACTTAGGAGATGGCGCTAGCGAAAGAAGTGATCACCTAAAGTGTGTTGCAGGTTATAGACTAGCGGGACAAACCCTACCCCACAAAGCTTGTTTCCCAACATGATTAGGCGTGTCCTCCTCTCCAGGGTCGGCTTCCCAAAAGCAGTAATACTGGAGGGCTTTGTGTGAGGAGCCTGTACTGCTATTCTTAGCCTACAAAAGACTATGACTGGCCTGAATCTCTGCTCCATCTGGGTCATCTGGTTTATGGGCCTGGTTTGCAATGCAAAATGCGTGGGAGTCCCTAATGAAAAATCTGATATCTATAAGACATTTTTTGTCCAACAAACACGTATGGTAAAATAAGGTCATATAAGAGCAAATAAGAACCATATATGAGCAAGTATGAAAAATATATTATATAAGAATTTATAAGAAACTTCTTATCTGTTTCTCATGACTTCTTATATGTTCTTGTATGGATTTTAAATGTTAATATGTGATCTTATTTGATAATATCCGTTCTTTCGACCCATATATTTCTCATACAAACACTATTTTGACTAGGGGTGGCGAAAGCGTACGCTCTAAAAAAAAAGGGTATCACCTTACACCTTTTTGTCCCATATAATGCACCCCTAAACTTCAATTCGACGTACAGCGCACTATGCGCAAACAGACGGCCCCAAATATTACGAGGGGCTTGAGAACGGTACGATAAACTTATTAAACAGAACAAAAAAAAACACCGAGGTTTTGCAGTAAAGCCGAGAAAACCCCGATTTTTTTTTTTGTAGTCAATAGCACGTACATGACCTATTTTAATAAGTTGTACCACACGGCTATCAAGCATCTCGAGAAAGTTCGTACCATGAGATCGACGTCAGTGGGCTGTGTGTCCAACTGGAGTTCTGGGGTGTATTACATGGGACAAAAGGTGTAAGAATACACCCTTTCTTTTCTGGGAGTGTAAAGCGTCCTCCAGTTTTGCTCTGCCTCTCCGTTAGCCAGCCACCCCGCTACGCCACAATGTACGCACGCCCATGAACATCCAATTTGGTCCTAGGCGTCTGACAGTAACTCCAAAACGCTCGCGATGGTTTCAGTTACTCTCTTTTTTTAAATTAAGACTCTTCATAATCACCCAGATATAGTAAAACCGTTGTATTCGGGAGGACTATTGGGCGTTCACCATGTCTTATGTTCCGTCACACTTTTATGTGCCGTCACAATATGTTTACACCGAAAACGCAGATTAAATCAGCAATCGCGCGCAGAAGGCTGGGCTCGAATCAATTTTACCGAATTGGACCCAGAAAATAAATTAAACCCGGCTTTTTGGGCTTCGCAAATAATCTACACATCGCAAAAGGCTGAAATTTTTTGAGTATGTGACACTAGCGGTGGTGATAAAAGGCGAACGTGTAAGCACATGACGTTACCTGGACCAAAATAAACAAAATCGAAGCCAAAATTCTTTATGAGCCGACGTTCACCGAAGCCTAATATTCATCAACCCGAAATTTTAGATTGTGGGTGCAAGAAGCATTTCTTTCAGTGAAAATCTTTTCAAGAAAGGAAATAATTCCGCCTTTTTTACAGGCAAGTTTTTTTTTTCCACTGAAATAAACATTATAGACGACACCTTCAATTTCAAATTTTGGTTTAATGAATTTAGGCTAAGGTAAAAGTCGGCTCATAGAGAATTTTCGTTTAAATATTGTTTTCCTACTGATGCAGGTAACGTCGAGTGCTCAAACTTTAGAATTTTATCACCAAACTATCGTCATGTTCTCACGGCATCTCAGTTTTCTTCGATGCGTGATTTGTTAATGCGGGCCAAAAACTGTGTTTAATTTTCACAATTCCTCGTAACTCTGGAGAAAGTTACGACACGTAGCGGAATTAACGTAAGGAACTGAAGTAGGAGGCTAGCCCCCGTCCAAATGTGCTACAAAAATCAGCGCTTCCTGGCGGCAAATGAAAAACAAAAGAAATGGAATGAAATGCGTTCGGCTCGATATGCGGTTTGTTACCTTGAAGTTGTGAAAAGGAATTTGAGCAGTCGGGTAAAGAGATGGTGTCGTTCTGATGAGGGCAGGTACACGCTGTGACAGCACAGTGTCTATGAAGACGTTTGAGTCCGTCACGGTCACTCCACTTGCTGGGAAATAAAAACAAAACAAATATGCGTGTGGTTCACTTTATGAAGAACGATTACGATTTTTTTTTGTCCTTAACAAAATCACCAGAAAACCCAAAATTTTTCCAAGCATAAAACAAGAAAAGCAACAAAAAAGCGCCGCGATTAAAGCCATCATAAACGTATTAATTGTTTTTTTTCCACAGGCAATATATTTGTGGAACAAGCTTCTATGTTTCGCCGTTTCTCCGCAGTTTATTTCTGAATTAAATAATGTTTTATGCATTTTGTTAAGAAAGTGAGTGTGTCAAAACGGCTTTTATTCGTACGTCCTTGTCGGACGGGACAGGTTATCCTATAGGATTATTACATAGCGTGGCATTTCAGTTGTAAGTATCCTTGCCTGTATCTTCCGCGGCTGGTTTGCCCTTAAACAGGGCTGACAATATTTAAAATATGAATAAAAAAATCGTGCACCATGACAGCGCCGAGTTTGTGTGTGCCTTCCACTTGCCCTTGTGTTCTTTCACAGCTGTTTTCTTTATTATCTTTGTGTGTACGATATGAAGCTGAGCATTACGTGCATGGTAGAAACGGCATGCTCTGTGTCCTGTCCCATATTTTTCTATTTTTACGTTACAGTCTCGTCGTGCACCCTCGGGCAGACGGAAGCATATTTGCAACTTCAGCGGACGCAAACTACCGAAAAGGGCGTGGCGGACGGGAGCAGGGAGCTATCGCCTTTCTAATTCTGCAGCTAAAACCGACCCCTCGTCTCGGCCGAAATGCGAACCATAGAAAAGAGAGATTAAACACACGCCACTGCAGTGGCACAAAGCTATGATCAAAGGACCGTCTCTTCGAGTGCTTTGAAGGGAAGTAGATTCACCTATATTTTTTAGACTGCCCGTGGATAGGAAGCACCCTGTTAATGTTTGTCTTCCAAGCTCATGTTACCTTGATTGTCAAAGGGCAAACAATGTTTTACTGAATGGCGACACCGTCGTTCGACGAGCTTCCTCGATTGTTTTATGTTCTATGCAGTACTGCAATATTACGTAGTCAAGTGCAAAATTAAGAATGCGCCAGAAGCTCTTTCTCCACCCTCATTAGCGTCAACCTGTGTTGTTCCGCGATGCGAAAGTAGCCCCGTACCGAAGCGCGCATCATGCTGAAGCCACTTAACTCATCATGGCTACCGCCTTTTCTAGTTTGTTTTCGGGGCGAATTTATGCAGTCGTATAAGTAATATCTGGTGTTTATGCGGAACATTCTTAAGTGGTACCCGACGATAGCAATAGCACCGCTAAAAATGGCCAACGATGACGAGAAGCAAGCAAGCTGGTTCCATCGGCAAAGCCAGGTTCTAACCAACCTTTAGTGCCGTCATTTTCAAGGAGCCCCAGGAAGTCTCGCACGTCCTCATAGCGCTGAGCCTTGGCCGTCTCTGTGGGAGTCAGAGACCCACGTATATTCCACCGGACAGCGAAAGTAGCGGGACTTCAGCTTGTGCATTTTAAATTTTCTTCATAGAATACGTCTTGTGTTGTTACGAGCACCCCAACAACATCCTGAGGCTGCCGTAGAAAATGCGGCTCTACAACGTTTTATGTTATCAGAAGATTAAGCGCAATAGACATTTTCCGCATTAAAACGACACGCAGCGGCGAAAAGCTCGCACTACCGCTCTGCGCCGGGTGCTGGGAACTGTAGCTGCGCTACCTTTCCTGCAGTCTCCACAACTGAAATGAGTCACGGAAGGGGCAGGAAAGGTAGCGCAGCACCCATATCGGAGGCAAAGTGTAGTGCGAGATTTGGCCGCAGTGTGAGGAAGGCGTGGACATGCGCATTAGTCGTCTTGAAAAAAAAGTGAATCCCAAAATATTTTTTTTCAGATGAATTTCTTTTTCATCTTTCTTGTCTATTGCGTTTTTTTTTGTTTTTTTTTTTCAACTTTGCTGCACTTGCAATGTATTTTCGTTTAACTTCTGCGGTTACCTCAAATAAGGTCGTAGTCAATATCCGTATCTGCGTACAACTAACTAACAACTTGAAAGTATAAATGAGATATGCTTTAGCTGGGCGAGGGAGAAAGGGAGGTCCTAAAGCGATGAAGTAAACGTTTTAACAGACAATTTCTAGTTGCAGCAAAAATATAAAAAAAAATTAAAGCAAAATGCTAGTCTTTTAACAGTGCTAAGAATGTATTTGGAATAAATAAGACATCAAATAGGCCATTTTCAAAAGTCCACCATGCAACAATGCGGTCGCCACTTCTTGGGCATGAAGGGCGTGATTGAATCTGAGTTCACGCAAAATGCTGACGCAGCACTAGTCTGCAATAGATGGTCAGATTGCGTGCTTAAGCAATGGTGGACTAAGGTAATTTGGGAGGCGGCTACCAGGTGGCGAACACTTTCGCAAAGAGGCTAGTGAAAAATAAACAATTTCCTCCGGTAGGATTAAGTTTAAATTAACTTTTATAGGCCCCACTTAACCGCTAATCATCACCACAACTGAAACGTCTGCTAGTAATTTTGCAAGGTAAAGGATGTGACGTTCCTGCCATGCTTCAAGCGAGGGACTAAAAAAAGCACTAAATTGTCACGCACCGTGTCTGTTCTCCACTGCTACGTACAGTAAGTGACGTATTTAGGGCGGACACGCTATCGTCACGAATCAGTGACTTTATTGCGTTTAGTCTTGTTGTGTTACGGGGCGGCGTGACTTATTTATTCATCGCTTAGTATATATATATATATATATATAAAATTGCGGCAGGAAATTGCGACTGAAATTTAAACTCAGTCGTGATGGTGTTGTTGTAACTATAAAATAAATGCTGAAAATATTTTCTTTAGGTTTTGTATTATATATAATGATTTACTAACAGAAAAACATTGAAATTTATTTTACGACTACAAAGAATTTATATAGAAACCGAGACACTATTCAAGCCGTGCGAGCAGATAAACATTGAACGCCGAGTGGCACTTTTTTTTATATAATTCCAGCGACGAAACCATCATAAAAATCTAAATGACATTCTGTAATCTAAAAATAGATTAAGAGATTACCTCGAGCTGTTTGCCGACTAGCTGATGATACTTTCAACAATCCAGTGCCATTTTTACTTTCATTGTTAGTGGGATTGATCATTAATATGTTTTAGCTAGATTAAAATTATTTTATTTTAATATTATATTAAAGTGCAGCAAGGATGACGCACGTTCAAAACTATGCTTTCCCTTACAAGAGTGTGTGTTATAAAAGTGGTTATTTATGTTTCTTCTTATTTCTTGATCAACAAATGCATTCCCCACTTACCGACTGCGATGACCGCGAAAACCAGACCAACGATTCTCAGCATTCTGCTTGTAGATTGTGAGCTGTGCCTACGCAAGGAAGTGGGAGTTTACAAGAGAATAAGCACTCAGGCGAGGTGACAGTTTTCAGCATAACTACAATAGCCAAGAACCAACAGAAGATGTTGCAGAACCACGGGGAACCCTCTGGCACTCAATTTTGCACCACGGGCTCTAAGTTCTCGTAAAATTAACTATTCTAGAGATTTTTTTTTTGATGATGCCTAATAAGCTTTTGATTGAAACCGTATTACCCATTAAGAAGTTGATGTTGAATAACTAATGAACGCCTGAATAATACTATATGCCGTGACCTGTACATATGTGAATTGTTTAGCGTTTAGCGTCTTGCCGTCATACGTTGAAACACGTGGGGTCCTGGACTCGTCAACCACAAAGTGGGAACCAAAGTTTATGGAGGGTAAGCTTAAACCCTTGTGACGATGACGCAGCTTTTTTGTCCCCGAAGTGCGATCAACGCGCTCCGCAAAGTTTCGGCTACAATCTAGTGTTTTACGAAATTTAAGCTACTGGTGTAAATCATGAACCTTAATACATCCATAAAAAATGCAGGGAGCAGTGTCTTTAAACAGCAAAGCGGGTGGAATAACTCTTAAATACTGGACCCGTTTTATTACTTCACCCCAAAATACCAAGGCGGCTAGAAGTATCAAACACAAAGCTAAAGACTAAACCATGATAAATGATACCTGAGTTTGTAGCAAGAAAGGGGAAACATCAAACATTTAAAATAAGAGAAAAAAAAGGACAAACCGTCTGTTCAACTGTTTCGGGTTCCCTTTTCTTACGACAGTCCGAGGCATGATTAATCATAGTTAATCCTCACCAGTTTTTCTTTTTTTTTTACTAAAGACTAACTTGACGGACTGCTATATTTGGACTATTGCGACAAGGGAGCGGGGTCATCGTTGCAAAGGTTCATTCAACGCGCTCCGCAAATTTCGGCCTCAACTTTGTGCGTTAAATGTACGTCTATGTATACAGGGTGTTTTTTTTTTAGCTGCACCAAATTTTCAAAAAAGGGAAACGTGAGATAGAGTAATTTAAGCCCTGGGGAAGTGTTAATGGCCATGGCGACCATTAGAAAAAAGGTGAAATTAGGTAATTAGTTTGCTAACTAACTAAAATGTTTTAACTAACTTTTAAATTTTTCACTTGAGAGTACATAATGTATTTAGATAATTGAAGCTCGACCTCAGTATGATCTAGGCCTGTCATCAAAGTTTGATTAAAAAAATTGTAGTAGGTGCTATTGGGTCCAGAAATTCCACTTTGGTACACGGCGCCAAACCGAAACTAAGCGAGGAAGAGCGCCGGTAAAGTTTTCGCTCCGCCCTTTCGGGCATGCGATTTTTTGTTATCGTGGCCGGCTCCACTTGCTTAGGCGAAGCTGGCTGCGATAACGACGATCCATGGGGGCTGGAAGGGCGGAGCGATTACTTTACCGGCGCTCTTTCTTGTTTAGTTTCGGTTTGACGCCGTGTACCAAAGAGACATTTCTTGACCTCGTAACACCTACTACAAAATTTTTAACCAAACCTTGATGGCAGGGCTAGATTATATTGATGTCGAGCTGCAATTCCTTAAATACATTATGTTCCCTGAAGTAAAAAATTAAGAAGTTAGTTAAAACATTTTAGTTAATTAGCTGACTAATTGCCTAATTTCACCTTTTCTCAAGGATCCTCCATGGCCATTAACACTTCCCCAGAGCTTAAACGACTCTATCTCACGTTTCCTTTTTTCTGAAAATTTGGAGGAGCTAAAAAAAAAAAAAAAACATCCTGTATATATATCTGCGAGTTTGTTTTGCCGCAGAACACCAAAGCAACCTATGGCGGAAAACGATGAAAGGAATTTCAGCAAAGGCACAGCTGATAATACGATTAAATTCGAAAAACGCGATATGCGTAGGGATAATGACGAACGTTAGTGGTCTAAACGTCAACTGAGCATCGTTGTTCGCTGGGACGCTTCAACTGTTTGCCGTGATTCACTCTCTCATGTTCAGCAGGAAGAACTCACAGACCTTTCTTTAGAGTGCAGTTCTGTGTCGTTCAAGTGTACAAAAAACAACTTGAACGAAAAAAAAGTGATACATATTTTTCTTTTAAATTTGAGCCCAACCTGGCCAATACAGGATACCAAAATGTGCGCAGAAAGTTATATTGTGGCGTAAAACTCGTCACAAACACATGAAAGGATATAACCGAAGACGCGCGCACGTTAAGCCCTTTTTTATTAAGTTCGCTCTTGTTTAAGTATTACTCTCATCAAATATAGTGCGGCGCTTAGACACATATAGCTGTTATGCGATGCCAAAAAGAATGTATAATATTGAGAGGCTCAATAGCGTAGTATGTGAAAGATTACTTGAATCTGGCAGTGTCTGCCACGATTCTCAAAAAGGTTTGTCTTTTCGATTATCGGCACATTCGGGCCAAGTCCCAGAAGTACTTTTAGGTTTGAACTGCAGTAACTGACAGCTAAAAACAAATCGGGTCGTGGCTGATTGCTTCGGGATTAGATTTTTGTAGTGATAATCAGATAATTATCATGGGCTGCGGAGCGGTAATAAGAAGTTCGTGACTCACTATACCCCTTGTTTCTTTTGCTGACACTGACTATATAAAGAAAATACAATGTCCCCCCTCCCCCCCGCCATAAAAACAAAAGCGGAAGTAATTGCAGTGTTGCACAATTTAAGGCGCTGACTCTTTCAGCTAAGTTGTAGAATTTCGTCACTTAGGCAGCAGAAATGCTACTAATATTAGCGCGTGTTTCTTTTAAGGACATAAAATGCATTTGTCATGGGTAATGTTCAAGTTACAGAGCCTCCATAAAAATTACACGATTCATTTTATAAGTTGTTCTATAGGTAGGAGAAAAGATTATAAACATAGTTTTCCATGAAAATAAAAAAGTTATCTCAATTGAGTTATTTCAACTTGTGGCCTTTGCAGAAACTGAACAATCGGCGAGAATTATTAATTGAATAACTTGTAATTTCCGCACCTCCCCCTCTTTGATATAATATTTTAATTTTCGTTCTCGTTTACATGAGTCAATCTTGCGCATGATGATAAACCTCTGTCTGAGGTTGTGAAATGGAAAACGCGAAGGAAAACAAAAAATAAGAAGAGGCAACGTTTCAACATCTCTCCATTTTGCAGGAAATCAGTCATTTCATTCATAAGCTACGCCGCTGGATAATGTCAAGACGAAACATTTATCGCATCTTCAAAAAATACTCTGCTTATTTTTTAGTAAAATGCCGACAAGAGGGGCTGCTTCTCGTATGGCGATCAGGTTCCTAAGTCGCGGCACTTTGCCAACTGCAGGCATTGAGGTAAAAATATATATATAAAAAAAGATGTATATATATAACGTTTTACAATAACATTTACTCAGTATAAACGAACACAGAGTGTTGCCGTCGCGTCCCGCAATGTCTGACACATTTCTTTCCTCGAACGCCTCTAGGAAACCTTGAATTCAGAAGTGCTATCGCGAAAACGTGCGAACATAGTCCTCTACGCACAGGCGCTCGCCCTGGCATATTTGAACTGTAAACACGCTGGGCCTAACCGGATGTTATTGAAACCGTAACACGCTGTTTCTTGATTTTAACTGAACTTTTGCTTCAGCACAAACTTTGTGTTATGCATACTTTCCTGGCCAATTTTTTCTCATCGTCCGGGTGTCATTGAAATGACCTTGAACAAAAAGACGATAGTGTTTGAGTTTTTAGCCACCGAGGGTTCAGTAAACGAAAGGCGTGGATTGGTGTGGCCACGCCTATTGCTTCGTAATTGGCTCTTATGCGTTTTTAGCGGCTATTGTTGAAGCCTCATTGGCTGTGGCGTAATAGTGAGATGCACGGTATTCGCCAGGCCCTGCCGTCCGTACCTTTAAGTGTGCTTTCTCTTTTTAGTCACGAGAAACCGTTCTGGTTGATATGACCATCGGTCGGGTTTAACTGCGCCTACATAGACGTTAAGATAAAATGCTCGACATTGACATTGACATTGGTTAATGTGGCCGCTCTCTGGTGAATGTTAATTGTATCGGTAATCATAATAGTAAAATTTCGATTATAACTCGAATCCCAAGGTATTCGTATTATAATCAGTCAAGGAGTTATGTAATTTACCCTCAATCTTCCAACCTTTCGACTCATTTTTCTTAGCTATGCTCTTGTCAGGTTGTTTATAACTAGACCAATTTAAAGAGTCGTTTTTATAGCTCTCGCACAACTCAGAGCTTTAGGTTAAACAGATTTACGATCACTTAGCATAGAGCCCCTGAAACAACGAGGAGGCCACATTCGTTGCCAAATTACTCTTAACTATATCGCCATATGGCAGATTTCGCGATAATTTGTAAGAAACATTCAACATATATTGCTTGTTTTTGTGGTTTTATGGAACGTCTCTGGCCACTGAAGTCACCCTTCCTTCAAACGAGCTATACGTTGTTGCTCGTTTGTAGGCCTTAGTGCCCTATCTTTGGAACAACGCAGCTTTGTTTCTTCTTTAGATGGCAACACGGCGTAACAATTAGAACAGGAAATAGAAGGACTCCATTGTTACATAAGGAACCTTGCTTGCATAATGATCCCTCTCGCCGGCGTGTGTCATGCTACCGTTCTCATCACGTACTTCCATTGTTTAACTGAAGGAAAAAAAAATTAAATTGAGACATTTTGATGTTCGCTAAGACAAACGCTGCCATTTCGTATGTTACGGTGATTCGCGAAGGTACTGTGCGCGTGTGAATGATTAGCATTGATCTTCAATTCAATATGTACGGGCACACCGCCGCTACATATGAAATTCCTAATATACTAATATTCACCAAGGTTTGGCTGGATACACACAATAAAAAACATGCCCATGTTTAAATATTTTATTATGTTCCGCTTAAATGTAACGGGAGGGAAGCGAATGTCTTCATAATAAAAAAAAAAAGAAAGGACGGCATGAATGCACACCCGAAGCTAATAAGATATTGAAAAAGAAACGCCAAGATTTATGCCGACTTCTCGACTGACTTTTGGCTAAAAGAGTTTGCTTAGGAAAAGGACGGCTTCCACTCTAAGGCTTCCGCAAGGTTAATTTTTTAAAGTTATTAATTATACAACAAAACTTAATAGAGCTGCTTAGGAGCACGATTTTTAAAGACGATGGCTGTGTTGAGCAGCAAGTAAACTGAAAGTTAACTTGAGATCTTAAAAAAAGGTGTTTCCTCATTAGTGCTAATTGTAAAGCAACCAAAATTGTTAAAAAAGTAGTTTCACAAGCGCTGCTAATTCTCAGACGCAGTGCATAGCACCAAGGAAGTTCAGACATGGCAATTCCAAATATCTACTACAATAAAATCAACCGGGAAGAAAGGTCTCAAGATGCTTGTTAACAGGCGATCCATTTCCCATCCACTTCGTTTTGCCCCACCCGCTGAAAATCGTGCGGTGCGGAAGAAACGTGCGTCGCAGCGATGTTGTGCTTTTTTCACCGTCATTTGTCTACAGATTGTAAGGTTCTATTGCACCGTCATTTTTTGCATGGTTATTCAGAACAGAATAAAAAATAGAAAGCTGCAATATCTTTTTTTTTTTTCTCGCGTTATCCATGTTCCTACTTTCCTGGCAAGATATATTCAAAACAAATATTGAGGCATTGCGTGCTCCCATACATTCAAATCCCGCATGTTTTGTTTAAAAAAAAATAGTGATGCCACAAGCAACTGGCGTTTTTTTTTTTTTTTTTATTCCCGTGCCTATCGCTTTGCCACACAGGTGGTAATCGTGGCCCACATACATAAAAATAAGAACACAAACATCAGGCATCTTTTATTTTCGGGAAAGAAGTATTGAGCTTATCATTTATGTTTTTTTCAGGCATTGTGTCGCGGTCAAAAAGTAACGTGCCACGGTGTTAGCGAAGACAGTATTCGCGAGCAAAGAAATTCTCATTGCATCTTGGTCACACGCATGTTCGTACAGTCAGTAGAAAGCTATTCTTAAGCGTTTGGTCCGCCTATGTAGAGTTTGCTGTCATCCGCATGAGTACGGAAATAAAGATGACCGAACGATTACAGTTTAAATGATGACGATCAGTGTGGGCTTACAAATTCAAAATAAACGCCAAGCATGCATCCGTACAACAGTTAAACAATATAGCCGTGGAAAGTTCCCAGCTTACTTCAAAAGGCTAAAGGGTGGATCCCGTGTAATAATGCGCAGGTAAGAATGAAGGCGACCTAAATACACTGTGAAAAACACGAAAGGCGCTAATGATCTAAAACTCTGCAGTATCATGAAGGGTGCGCAAGACGATTAACACTTATCAGCAACGAACACACAGTTTGCAATCCTCACACTAGAGAAAGTGCAGGTCGAAAGCAATAAACTTCCTAGCGGCAGAGGAAAACTCAATAAACAACTGAATCTGTAAAATAAAGACAACAGCATATTATAGCTCGAATAGGGACCAAGTTTTTAACTTTTGGCACACGTATAAGAACAGTCAAAGATGAACCAAACAATAGACGAGCATGACTTAGCGCATTAAGTTGAAGCGAAATGAGCGCAGCTTACCGTACGAGCAAGCCAAGGTCCCTCACTGGGATACCGGTCGGTGTGTGCGACTGAAACGCAAGACTTTCGCTTCGAGTCGAATGGGCGACACTCCGTTGGTTTCTCCCTCTCCCGCCCTTCCTCTCGAGGCAGATCATGACGTCATGTGTGCGAGAACCTGTTTTGAGTTTCGCATATCGCTGTTCGCCCCTACGACGACGACGATGCTATCGTAGCCTCGTGTGAGCTCGTTAGTGGAAGCGGAGTCACGTGTCGGCCTTGATTTCTGACTTTGACCGAGCAAGAAAGCGAAACAAAACCAACTTGTCTCGGAATATATGTCATGCCCTAGATGACGAGTCTTTCGGGTCTCTCCTCCTCCAGAAGGAAACAGACTTTCTCCTGCGCTATTTGCTCCCGTCTTGGGCTCGGCGCGTGATTGGTGAGCTTGAGAAAAGGACGGTTTTCCGCTTAATACACTCAATGGCTTGTAGGTTATAGAGTGCGGTTTCGAAAACCTTAGATTAAAAATATAATATTATGAAGATGAAATGAAACTGATGGGAAGGGGGAAACCCCGGAAGAGTCTCCAGGAAGCTTCAAGCTGCGGTCATCTGCTCTCTGGAGACTGTCTTTAGACAGTCTCCAGACAGTCTTTAGACAGTATGTGAGGTGTGTTTCTTTCTTGTACGAGGGTCTTGTCACACTGGTCGTACAAAATCTGTTCGCCAAGAAGTTCGGATTTAAATATACAGAGTGTTTTTTTTTTTTTTAATTTACAGATTTGTCCAAAGAAAGCCCTGAAGGTTACACTTATTCGGTTTGCGCAGGCGAGTTAAACGTCCAGGGGGACATTATGTGGGTGACTAATCTTAGCGCTAAGTCGTCAAATTGATTAATTTGTTAATAAAAGTTTAGTGAAAATCGATATAAGGTTCCAACAAGAAACGCTCGGAGCGTCATCAAAATCCACTTAACTCTTTTTAGGACGACTTGAAGCTTGTGGGAACATCAGGCGCGCACCAAAGTTACCACTGGTGCAGCAGGCGCAAAGCTAGCAGGGGCGGAACGCAGATGATAACCTAATCATCCGAGTTCCGCAACCTGCTAGCCTTGCACCTGCTACACGAGTGGTAACTTTGGTGCGCCCCCGAATTTCGCACGAGCTTCAAGTCGTCTAAAAAGAGTTGATTTAGTGGTTTTCGATAACGCTCCGTACGTTTTTAATTGTAACCACATGTCTATTTTCACTGATTCAAAAGTTACTTCACGAATTTTAAATAATTAGCCGACTGATCGTTTCGATTCGCCCCTTATACTATGTCCCCATGGATGTATAACTCACGTGCACAAACGGCATAAGTTTAGCTTTCACGCCTTTTTTTAAACACACCAGTAAACTTAAACAAAAGCACCCTGTATATACATTGCCGCGTGAGCGGCATAATTGGGAGCGCAAGCGACATCCACGTGGATGAACAGGCTTCAAATCCCGGTCGCTCAGGTTTTTTTCTTTTCCTCAGAATCTTTGGTCTCCTTTAAAGCTCCAGACCATTTTTGCCTGTAATCGTCTATTCTGGTTCAAAATATACCTGAACCTATACCGCGTCTATAAAATAGCAGCGGCAATAATGTGCTGCTTCTGAAAAGTCGCACTTCCGCGTCGCCGTTTTGAGGAGCGCGGTACTTTCGTATTTACGTTTCGTAGGCACAGGTTTACTTCATTAAACGTTTATTTTAATGCGAGAGCATTAACTGGGGTCTCGTGGAGCGAGCTGACTTTATCAGTTTGAAGCCCGAAAACAGCACCTACAGTCTAAAAAAAGCCCGTGAGTCTGCTTTCCCGCACAACACCCGGAGAGCCAATGACCGCAACTTACGGAGGCAGCTCAGCGAATGACAATGCCGAAGCATATGTTTAGACCAAAAAACGCAGTCTGAGTTGTGACATTAAGCAATGCAAGCGTGACGTTTTGCAGTGCTTAATGTCACAACTGAGATTGCGTTTTTCGGTCTAAACGTATGTTTCAGCATTGTCATTCGCTGAGCTGCCTCCGTAAGTTGCGGTGATTGGCTCTCCGAGTTTTGATGGTGCGTGAAAGTAGATGCAGAAACATTTTTTAGAGTGTAGGTTTCCCGATTTCAATGTTTCCATCGGCTGGCGCGCGTCGACGGGGCTCGCATTGACCGCTGCGTCCGTCAGTTTCCACGGCCGCTCACCCCGTGGCGCTGCGTGTCCATCAGCGCGCCGTTAACACGGAGCGTCCAAGGTCAGCGTGCCCAGGGGAGCACACGCGCCGACCGGCGACGAAAAGTACGCAGCAGACGAAAAAGGGAGCGTAAGAGCGGCTTGCATGCTGTCGCATTCACAACTCATAAGTAGTGCTTAGGGCACCTCGGACATTTGTTTTTTAGTTCTACACTTATCGTCTGTATTTTTTGGGTGTTTGCGACAATGTGTAGGAAGCAAAGATGTTCCGAGAATGTGTGACGAGTGTCGGCAGATTTTTCTGTCATCATTCTCGCGGAGAAACTCCGCTATTCTTTTGTACGGTGTGTGAACGGAGTGACTGCAGCCTTACAATGGCGTCCGACGTTTCATTAAACGACTTATAAGGGAATATCCGAGCGGGCTTGGCAAATTGTCGGCTTCCGGGTAAATACCTTTCACGGAAAAGCTTACACACGTGAGTAACACGCCTATTTGAGCACAGAGACAATGGGAAGTCGAGCTTTATAGTCGTGTGGATGTTTGACGTACCCCCCCCCTCCCTGTAACTCATTTCTCTCCTGATTAGGCAGGGGTTTTGGATTCCATTGTCTTGCCTTTTCCCATTGAGGTTTTCTTGTTTATTAAACTTTCACAACAAAGGTATTAGGACAAATTGTTTTTGGTTACTTATGCAGCGCGATAAGATCAGCGGTAAGAGAAAAGTTTTTTTTTCAGTTTTTAAAATGATGTATTTTTTACTTTTTTATGAGTCTTGTTATAGATAAAAAAAGAGGCATGCTTTTCCTGCTATGAAGGGTAGTTCTTAATAAACTATATTTATTTGCAGCTAAAAGTTTCAAAAATCTTAGCAGCACACATTTGTTTTGTTGCTGAGAGCTAAAATATTTAAACACCCTTCCCCTCCCCCCCCCCCCCCCAAAAAAAAAGAAAAAAAAGACAGAAAGAAAAAGGTGAGGCTATCAGGACATCTTTGCTTGAGGTTTTGATATTCATTAAAAGAAAAACAACGCAACATTATCAAGGTTTGTACTTGGTGTCATTGACAGGAAAGTGTCGTTCTGATCAACTAAAATATGTAAAAAGGTTCGTTTGGGTTAGTTGGTTATTTAACATCCTGAGGTAAAAGAAGTCAGAGGATTCGTAGCAAAAAATATCTATTCTACAATTCCTACATAAGGTGTCCCACAATTTAAAGACAATAGGAAAAAGGATAAGCGTAGAAGTCGTCTTTTCCGCGCCAGAAAGGTTGTCTGGTTTATGTAGACCGGCCATTCAACGTAATCAAAAAGGAAGGAACTAAAGAAAATTGCACGAGGAAGCACCGCCAGCCTTTTCCTCTGGAATGCGTTATGTGTTTCACTTTTCTTTTTATGCCACATTGTCCATATCGGACAGACCGGACGTTGCATAAACAATAGATTTAGAGTGCATCAGTATAGCATCAATAAACAAATACTTGGGCATTTTGGAATTCACTCTCGCGACTACGGATGCAGGACCCCGACTTTAACCAAAAAACCGGGCAATAAATAAAAAAAAAAAAACAAAAAAAAAAAAAAAAACTTGTAGAGATAAGCTAGTTGAGCAGAGAAATAAGGGGATCCGTCGAGACATAAAAGAAAGAAACAAAGATGTGTCAGCGGGCCATCCCTCACCCTCTGAGATATAGAATTGCAGTATTTGACTCAGTCGTGTTAAAATAAGCAGACCTCCCGTAACACACTTTCTCTCTATCTGGTTCAAAAATGCCGGGATTGCTCGCGAGTTGTTTTTTCCTTTCTTTTTCGTACTTTTATTTGTTTTAGCGTCGCCTAACTTGATATATTTATACAGTGAGTGAAAGCGAAATAAACGATCATTTGATAGTCGGCGCACAGTCCCGTCTGTTCTTGTTCTTCGTCCTTGTCGAGTTGCGTTGTTTTTACTTCAAACGAATGGTGGAAGACTTTTTTTGCTTTTATCCAAATATTTACATCCAAAAACCTTTAGGCTGCACTCGCACTGCTCAGCGATTATGGAAGATACACGTTGTTCTCTGCCGACACGATGACAGAAGCATGTGTACGTGCACGCGCGCCTCTGGCGTGTTCAAATTATGTGCTTTTTATAGACCAACTGAACTCAGTGACGTCACGTGCCACTGCGATGGCACTGCTGTCGGCACTGCGAATGCGCAAACACTTCACTCCTGCAGAGTTTGGTTTCTGCGCATGCGCAGTGCCCACACCTGGTGTGAGCAAACCGGGTTTGTTAGTAAATACTGTGGTGGTCGCAGGCGGATTTTTGCGGATCGAGAATGGTAGCAGGCGGATTTTGTGTGACCAATTTGACAGGTCCGCCATTCATGGAAGAAATACGCCGCGGACAGTGTCTGCAGGCTGTCTTTTGTAGTGCGATGTAATAGCAGTCCGACGACAACGGCTTTAGAATGCAAGAGAAATGAGGGCGTAGGGGCGTAACCCTCTTGCGTTTAGTAAGGTCAGCTTCATGTTAAAGGGTTAGCATTAGTACCCACACGAGGAGGAAAAAGCTGACGGTGTCCGCATGTGGACGAAGCAGTGGAAAGGGAAGCACTCCGAGTCGAGAGGAGGAGAGTAGCGAAGGACACATACGAGAGGGAGGTGACGTGACGGGGCGGAAGCCAGTGTGCGAGTGGACGCTGGGACGAGTCTGAACTTGCAGGTGTGCGGAGCGCACATGCCTTAGTTTGTGCAACAAAATAGAGTGTGAACCAAGTGGTAGCACTGGTCCAGATAGGTGGCAAAAATAATTCAAGGGACATTCACTGGTGGATCCTTAGGGAACACGTTAGCTTGACAATGTACAAACACCAAACACGTCCTTCTTTGGGAAACGCTAGCACTAACCGTGTAAAAATGCGA